CATCAGAATCAAGAACGACTACAACAAAAATGGTTCAATTTTCAGACTTAGCTTTGCTCTAATTATAATGGTTCGGGCTAGTTCAGGGAGAACGCTACAGGCTACTCCAATCAGCTGGTCGATCCCTTCCTTCCATTGTCCATCGTCGGTAAACTCGACCCACAGAAGCTTCAACTTCTCCACGTTTATCTGAAGTGAATAACGGGCAGGAGTAGAAGCAAAACAAGATCGCCTGCAGATAGCGACTTTATCCTGCCGACATCCTTTACAGAAGCACACTCATTATCCTGACTGTGCCTCACTATTCTGTCCATGTACAACACAAACGGGAGAGGGGACAGGAGGCAGTCTTGGAGGAGACTAGTGCCAAAGCTGAAGGGTTCCGACTTAGCGCCATTTACTCTGACGCAGCGCCTGGTATCAGGATGCAGTGATTAGATGGCCAATAGCAACTGGCCATCGGCCCCACATGTTCGTAGGCACACCCATAGACTATTGCACGGGATCCGGTGATGATCCTTCTCTAAGTCAGCAAAACATATATTCACCGGATGGGTGAACTCTCACGATTTCTGCAATCTGGCGTAGGACGAATATCTGGTAAGATGTGCTTTGGCCGGGCCGGAAGCCACATAGTTCTAGTTGTATTTTAGACTCAGGTATTCCACCGCACTTCCTTTCTAACATTTTTGCGAAGACTTTTCCAGGAGGATCAAGAAGGTAATATACCGATAATTAGAGTACTTTCTATTGTTTCCCTTTATAGACAGGGCTACTACAATGCTGTTCTCCAATCCACGTGTGATTTCTCCGTGGCCACTGCAGTTTAACGGTAGTTGAATTCCATAAATTTACTCAGGGGGCGTTAGCAACTGATGTGTGTTAACCACACAAAATGCGTTATAACGGCTCTCCTGATTACAGCAGAGAAGGTTCAGGCGCCTACTTGAGATGGTAGTGGATCGGTGTTTCGGGTGGTTCACCTGTAATTTTTCGGTCTCATTGCAGTTCGCGGTTTGACGTCGAATTTGTTGAGAGCGAAAATTCGATAATATGGGGATCCACTCTATTAATATTGACCTATCAGTTTCAGTTATCATTCGCTTCACAGAATTCAGGCATATATGAAAATGTCACTGAGTTAATGAGCCCTCATTATCTACACGGCGGCACAGTTTTGCCGCAGGAATGACAAGAACGAGGCAGGAAATGCAAAGAATACCGGCTCCTGAGTGCATAGTGGTGCCTGCTTTCGAAGCCAAAAGCCACCAGAAAATAGTTTGCAGGCTCCAGTGCAATAAAAAGTCGAAAGATACAATTACTGATTGTCGGTGTAATCCGCAACATTGAAGAGCAGCTGGTACAACTTATTAAAGAACTTTTACCCTAATTGCACTGTTTGTTAATTTCATGTTAATACCTGATTTTCAGTTACAGTTGATAGCCGCAACAGAATTATCACAAGGCAATTAACCTGATGATGAATCTGTAGGATGCTAAACCGTGATTTTCCGCCACCTAGAGTTACACAAATCGCCTTTGAAGGCGAGAGTCCAGTAAGGCGCGTTATTAAGATATTTTATTTATTTCCTCTGTTCCCGACTAAATATTACATTTAAGACATCTGTTTTCTGTTGAAACGGTTTACTTGGGTTTGATCATAGCTTCTACTGTGGAAGTAATCCACCACGAAGCGAGGTCAGGGTTTAGAGTTACCTCGCTCTTTGCAACTCCAAGTTTGCATTGAATGCGTCCCCGGCATCTACCACATCGTTAGCATAGACGAATTTCGAGGAAGTTTCCTGCATATCGCTTGTGTTCGTTCAACAGAAACGTGTTCGAATTAATTCGTATGGCAGCCCTATCTTAAGAGTACGCAGGATGCTGACTTGGTTGCCGTTAAAACCCTGTATTTTTCTGTTGCTGAGCATCAATCAGAGAAAACACAAGGTGGGTTGGCACGATTTTTTTCTGACGTGCTTCGCATGAGGTCTTGCATCACGTTGTCGTAGACCAGAGTAAGATCAGGTAAAGGCCAAATCCGCTTACATCTTATTCTAGAATCCGGCTTCGATGTTAATTAGGAGTTTGAGAACTTGCCCTCAGCGACTTTAATTTGACTGGAATTTATTCCACCTTGTTCAGATAGCAATCTGCGCTCTGCAGTTAGAGATTCGGAAATAAATTTGTGACTCCAAAAGTTTATATGATGCACAGCGAGGCGATATGGGTCTGCAATTGACAGGGTCAGTTTTAAACTTTCCCAAATTCAGGCTAGCAGTGACATCTGCTTCTCGTCAGACTGCTGGAATTTGTAGGTTGCTGTAGATATCTGTGAATAGTTGATCCATCTATTCTCGTGTCATGGATTTTTGAAGACAGGAACTTTGAACATACCCTGTCCTTTTCAACTGTTTATTCTACCTTCATTGCAGCTAAGCCAATGTCTCTTCTGCTGAAACAGAGTTCAAAGAGCTGAGACGCTTGGAGACAGTAACTTCGCATAGATGGCGGTTGACATTCCGTTTACTGACCCAGTCCGGAATGATCTTAAGGTCTGTCGAGTTCAAGGCGACAGCCGGTTTTCCTCTGACCTCAGAACGCGTGCTTCGTCGAATTTGCTGCTCTCAACCGCCTATTACTTCCAGGCTTTACGACTGCAACGCATGATGGGAAGACTTTTCTCCAAAGCAGCCTGCCACTGATTTCTTGATATGCTGGGCCATTTCAGGAGGGCAGTTGCTACGTCTTGGTTCCCAGG